AGAGCAAAAGAAAAGAGACGAAGAAGATACGAAAAAAGAAGCGCCAACAACAACCCTGGGAAGCAGCAGCTCAAAAGGGGGAGTGTAAGTGGGAGGTGGAGAAAAGCTGCGCACTTGCCTGCACTCTCGCCTCTCTTCCTCCCCCGCGAAGTGGCCCAAAAAGGGAAGAAGAAAACCCAAACAAACCGAGAATCAGCTGTTTCCTAGGTACGATTTGGCAAACGGAACAAGCGGAAGTGGAAACGGAACAGCTGCCACCAAGGGGGATGGGACTAACCCAGGGGGGAGGCGGAGGCCGAGAAGGTGAAGCGTGTGTGTAAGCTGTGTTTGTCGCTGCCTTTCCTTCTTTATTTCCTTCTTTCTGCCCCCCGAGCATTATGCAAACTCAGCTTTGGGTTTATATTTTTGTTCCCTTTGTATGTACAGTGCAGAATATGCATGTAATATATCTGGTTAAATGATCGCTACTAAGCTGCGTGTCATCACGGCAGCGATAAAAGCGCAAGTGACAAGATGACAAGAGCCATCTGAATCATTTATTGGCGGGGTAATTATATTTCCGGAAACTTGAATCGATAATATCAAAAGCTATAATACTCTGACTTGGCATTTTAACTAAAAAAAAAAAGGGGGTTTTATGCAAAATTAATTTTTTGTTTTAAATTTCCAACTACTTATGGCTAAGACAGAAATACAAAGGCTTATAGAAATCAGTATTAATAGAAATCCAACATTTTTAAATCAATAAGTCGTTTGTAAAAAGGTTGTTTTAAAATTAGTAAAGACCTTTTTAAACTACTAACTCATACTACTTTTTAAAACAAGGGAGTTTTAAAGTTTAACTCCCTTAGGATATAATTTTTGTTTCTAGTGATATCTTATGGATATTAATTAGTCATAAAAGCAGACTTAGGAATCTCCCTTCCATATAAATTTTTTAATTATTTGTAAATCATTAAACCTCAGACATTGTAATAAACACTTGAGTCAAGTTGTTTTGTTCAAGAAAGACCTTCCTCAGTTAGTCAGTTTCTAGATTACTAACCCTATCAGATGTACTACTATTTTACTACAACATATTTTAAATATATACAGTTACTTAATTTAAATTTCTGATTTCGTATTATCGATTTGAAGCTAATTTATTTTTCTATGGAAGGCTTTATCTCTTAAACTTTTTTTGGTAATTATTATTAAATTAGAGTATCTTTAACTTCGAAGTAAACAGGGATTAACAGCAGTAAAAAGTTCCTGATTATAAACTGAAACAACTAAAATTATACTTATACCCAGAAGTAAACAAATAGCACACAACCAAAACTTAAACAAAGGAAGGACATCACTATGGGGAGTTGTTGGGTTGGAGGACATCAAATTCCCGGAAAAAGACACCTACATCACTTCCCCAAAGCGGTTTCGTAATATATATTTCTAGTACATTTTGTACTTTCAACTACAAGTGCGTGCTCCGACCCCCCCATAAGCCACCATTCCCGCGTCGTAACCTCTTACCCCTAGAAGTGCGAGGGCGGTTGGTTCTCATTCGAGTTACATAGGTCAGCAACGGCAAGTGAAAATCAATACAGCAAACACCTCAAAAAACTTACCAGATTGCGTGGCTTGCTGTTGCCCGCCATGGTGTCGTTGTTGGCCCCTTGCAGGACATCCGCTTGTGGCCTCTCAGCTAGGGACAGACACTGGGTGGCGGTGCATAGTGCATGTCCCGCCTGTGGATCTGCTCCTGCTTCCGGTTCCTGCTCCGTTTTGTGGCCTAAATTGCTCCAGCTGCGCTTCAATAGAACCGATTTGATCGTCGAGAGCTTTGCGCGCGAACTGAATCCGTCTCCTCCGCCGGCTGGGCCTGGACACTGCTCAGTTCGTGGTCCAAGCTCTGCTTGATTCACGCGCAGACGCAGAGAGGCGGAACGCTGGAAATGGGCCGGATGTGGAATACGAGTGGGCGTTGTGGATGCCGTGTGGGCGGTGGTGTCCTCCTCTGATTCCTTAGGTTGCTCCTTCGGCCCCTGCTCCATTGCCAGCGATGACGTCTCCCGCGGCAGTGACGTCGTCATCTCTAGGACAGAGGACAAAAATGAGCAACACATGTCGGATTTGGAAAACATGAAAAATTGAATTGATAAAAATGTATTTTTTTAATACCGATATTAAAGTGAAAATTCTCGGGTGTCAATATGGAAAACATCGGTGTTTGTAGTAACTCTTTCCAATATTTGAAAAGTAAATAGTTTGTTTCAAAATTCTATTTATCCTTTTCTTTATTTAAAAATTAAAAGGAGCCTTTAAAATCTACTTTATTTTTCCTTGGCTAATCGGAAAATCAAATTGCAGAAATATTAGCAAGAAAATAAGCTGAATGCAAATTGAGCTAAAATCAATTTTGAATCATTATTGGCTGCACTTTCAAAATGTGAGCAATTTTATAATTGAATGCTTCACATAAACGACTTCATTATCTTAAACGCTGGTTGGATAATTAAAACTTTCTTCAATCCGCCATTAATAATTGCTGCCCCAAGCTCCCCCCTTCTCCTGTTCCCGCTGATTTTCTGGGCAAATCCAAAATGAAAAGTGAAATTAAATCAGTTTCCCAGTCATGCAACTCTCAGGTTTTTTTTTTTTTTGCTGGCTGAAGCTAATTACGAAATTTGTGTGTTTGAGATCTTTTTCGCTTGCGGTTTTTGGATGTACCTTTGGCGTTCTAGTTACACCAACCAACCGGAGCTTAAAGGTCTTCGGGTTAGATGAGATAAAAGCACTCATGTTTGGTTAATTTTTTTTATGGAGAACAAGCTGACGAAAGGTTTCTGTTGAAATTTTTGCGGCGATATCAGCAATTAAATGTGATATCGGTGGTGGAAAATTTAACAAGGCTTTTGGGATGGTCAAAGCGGTGGGAATTTTTACGTGTAAGGGTTTTTAAAAAGGTTTATTAATTACATATTTATTAATATATAATATAGAATTATTTGAATGAGCTGTAGGGAACTGAATTATTTTTTAAAAGGTTTGGAAAATTAATTATATATTAAACAAAAATTGTTTTCCCAGCTGCTAATTTCTTAAATACTTTTTCCTTAATAAATCTAAATTATAATCAAATTATAACCATTTAATTTCTTGTAAATCCTAATCTTCACGATTTTGTACTTCATAAAAAAACCTAACAAATGGGTGAAACTTAAATAATTGTTTCACTCATGACCCTTATTATTTCTTTCTTCCCTGTGGCAATTATAGCCACTATCATTGTAAAGTATTTCCGCTTATTTCTTAAAAAAAAAACAACTTTAAGACTCCGGCTCAGTTTCGGGGGTTTGGGTTGAGCGGCTGCTGCTGCTGCTAGGCCATAAAAGGTCAATTTCACAGCTGAACAAACGTGTTTTCTTCTCCCATTTCGTTCACTTCACTTTAATTTACTTGAATGTTTTTCTTGTGTTTTGTTTTGCCACGTTTTTTGTTACCAGATTGAGTAGTAAAGAGTGCATTGACGGCATATCTTCGAACGGGATTGATTTAAGCGATGACAAGGTCAAGATACTCGTATCCTATGTGAAAATATTTAATCAATGGCAAAAATGGAGCTCGTTGCTTAAGTAAATAAAAGTCAAGCAGCTGTCCAAGTAATTAAACATGACGTTTATAGCTTAGTTGCTGCCCTCTTCTGTAAAAAAAAAGCTCTCTCTCACTTATCAACAAAAAACAATTTCGTTCTTTTGATAAGAGCTAACAAATCGACACCGCAAAAGCGCTGTCTCAGCGTAAAACTGTGCGACCTTTCCAACAAAAAACCATTAACACGTTTGTAATTTGTTTTTATACCTTAGAAAATTGCACTATTTGCTGGCAATTTGCAGGCAAATATTTGCAGAAAATTCTTCACCAGCTCGGGTTAAACACAACACCATACACAACGACGTAAAAATATTAAAAATATATTATTGAACAACAATTGTGAGGTGCGCGCGTGCCGTAGGCGAACGACAAAATGCAACTGAAGCTGAAAAGCCGAGCGGCGAATGGAAAATGCTGCTGGCAGATGGAAAAACTATTGTTCAATTACCAAAGCGAGACGGAAAATGGAGTACATAGTGTGTGGAGTACCGGAGTGTTGCAATCAAAAAAGCGTCTGCTCTCCTCCAGCTGGAGCCGGCGGCAGTGTCTTAGGATCGCACCACCTTTGACTTTGCCGCCCGCCCGGCGATGGCATTTTAAATGAATTTTCGGGGCGCCTGGGAAGGTTCCCCCAAGCCTAAATGCGAGGTGAAAGGCAACAGGTCTCAGGCAAAAAGGTTTTGTGCAATTAATTGGCACAATAAAAGCGCCGGCCTGGCTATGCATTGTACTTGCCCAAATTGTTTCAGACTTGCTGCCGGCGGCCGACCTCATTTCCCATGGCATTTGATGGGCGGAAAGGTGCATTATAAGTTTTGCGGTGTTCGGTCTTGCGGAAAGTCTTCTACGTTAGCCTCTGCAGCTCATTCAACTGGCAACGGTTCATAATTTATAGGAATGCAGATTTGACGGAATATAGACCTTTCTCAGAAAAAGAGAGTACTTTTTATTTTAATTATTAATAAGAATAATAAAGAGCAAAAATGTGACTTGCAGCTTATAATAATTGAGTTTATAAATTGTACACATATTTTATTCAAAAAGTCCGGGCTTAGTGATTAGTGTGACCACTAGGAGGCAAAAAGGTTCGACTGTGTGGCCAGCTTATGCAGGTTACCCTTTGAGTAAACACTTCCGCTCAGACGGAAGCTTATAATTATTATTTGTATCTGTATTTCTGGTATGAGACAACAGAATTTAGATATCAATTTTACAAATAAATCTAAACATTTTATGTTTTTGCTATCTGCTACCCATTTAAATACTGATAATTTTTAAGCTTTTTCCAAAACTAATTAAACTACTTGTTCGGTATATTTTTCAGTATATTTTCTTAGAATTTTATGGTATATTCAGTCGGCCCCGCTGCGGTCTCACACTATTACTTGCACTTTGCAAAACTCAAATTTGTCTGGCTTTGTGTTTTTTGTTGCTGCCTTCGACGAAACGACGAAAATTACACGTAAAAGTGTTTCAAATAGGCGATATTAACCCCGAACACAGAGTATCTACAAAGTCCAGAGGTGAGGAAAGCGAATCATCAGAGATTTTACGTGTGTTTCAAGCTAACTTTGCGTCTTTACGCATGCTTCTTCCTCCGGCAGCCGCATAAAATGGATCGTCTGCTTCGTCTTGGCGGCGCCATGCCTCAGGCCGCTCCACCCACAGACGCTCCCGTCGTGGACACCGCCGAGCAGGTTTACATTTCCTCGCTGGCCCTGCTCAAGATGCTGAAGCACGGCCGCGCGGGCGTGCCCATGGAGGTGATGGGTCTGATGCTGGGCGAGTTTGTGGACGACTACACGGTGCAGGTCATCGACGTGTTCGCCATGCCCCAGACGGGCACTGGAGTCTCCGTTGAGGCGGTGGATCCCGTCTTCCAGGCCAAGATGTTGGACATGCTGAAGCAGACGGGTCGGCCCGAGATGGTCGTGGGATGGTATCACTCGCATCCGGGCTTCGGCTGCTGGCTGTCTGGCGTCGACATCAACACGCAACAATCGTTTGAGGCTCTCTCGGAACGTGCCGTGGCTGTGGTCGTCGATCCCATTCAGTCCGTCAAGGGCAAAGTGGTGATCGATGCCTTCCGGCTTATCAACCCCAACATGCTTGTGCTGGGCCAGGAGCCGCGACAGACCACCTCCAATCTGGGTCACCTGCAAAAGCCCTCCGTGCAGGCGCTGATCCATGGTCTCAACCGCCACTACTACTCGATTAGCATTAACTACCGCAAGAACGAGCTGGAGCAGAAGATGCTCCTCAATCTGCACAAAAAGTCGTGGAAGGATGGTCTGACGCTGTCCGACTACAATGAGCACTGTTCCATTAATGAGGACACCGTGGCGGAGATGCTCGACCTGGCCAAGAACTACAATAAGGTGAGTTTTAAATTCATTAATTTCAAGCTTATTTATTCATTTAATATTATGTTCCCCCTTTCTGCAGTCTCTGGAGGACGAGGAGAAGATGACGCCCGAGCAGCTGGCGATCAAGAACGTTGGCAAGCAGGACCCCAAACGGCATTTGGAGGAGAAGGTGGACAAGGTCATGCAGAACAATATTGTGCAGTGCCTGGGTGCCATGCTGGACACTATAGTGTTTAAATAAATGCTCGCATTTGCTGCTCTCCGCCCCAAAACCATGTTCCCCCATCATCCCACAAATCGCTAAGCTAATCGTATTAACAAATAATAAAAACTGCTTTTGTTTAAGGCAGAGTTTTACACAAAGCAAAGCATATTATTTAAATGGAAAGCGAATAAGCCAAGCACAGGCAATAAACTCTTTTTAAAATAAAACTAGCTCCTTAGGTCGAGGATCTCGTATCCTCCTTTATGATGTTGGGGCGATGTAGTAGTTGTTATTCGGCTGTGGTCATCGGGTTCATAAGATTCCGGATATACAGAGAACCATTGATGCATTCCAGTACCCTGAGGTATGGAGCCCTGTGGTGGCGACAAAGGAGTGGAGTCCACAGTCCACCAAGTTACCTTAGGTCCACCTAGCACAGCAGCCAGCGCTGAAGCCAAAATAGCCAGGAACTGAAATAAGAGATGGTGATTAAATATATATTTTTAAAATTACTTTCACTTGATCTGTGCTCACCAGCAATCCCATCGTGACTGGAGGCTGAAATCACTTTGGCTGTGACCTATAAGGTAGCTGCCAAGATAGATTGGCGTCGTATATTATGTTATATTTTAATCTTTAAAAATTATAAACATATACATAAAAATATATAAAGTATATAAACATATATGTATATATATTTATACAATTTGTTTTTTTATTTGTTAGCAATGAATTTAACTCAAAAATGATTTCAATTCGCATATTAAAAGCAATTATATACAAAAATCATTTCATTTGGTCTCCAGAAACAAATCGTAACTCGTAAAACTACTTTTTTTTATATTTTATTGCATTCTTATTTATTTTTTTTTGTCTTCGCAATATCTTGCATATTTTCAAGTCTCATCTCTCGGAGTATATGAAAATAAGTTAAAAACAAAAAAGTTATAATATTTATGAGACCATTTCCATGAAAGTCATAAGATATGGTGGTCCGATTAGGCCCGCTCTGATATACATATGTATCTACATACATACAGCATATATACATTTATGTATGTATGTATACTATGTACAAATGTATATGTATGTATTTGTACTATGTACATATATGTATGTATACTACCTGCTATAGAAAAAAAGACTATTTCCAAAGTTTCATTCCGTTTTCAGCGCTAAAACTAGTTTGTTTAAAAACATATATATGGACACGGCTAGATCGACTCGTCTATTGATGCTGATGAAGATATATCATATTATCATGATAAAGAATATATATATGTACTTTTGTAAACCCATTTATTTTTTGTTTCTAGTTTCACGCATCAATATGATTGACTTTCTTAACATCGAACCTGAAGTTGATGATTCATCAATCAATATATATATATATATATATATATATACGTATATGTATACGTAAAATTCTAAAATAATTTACATGTCTATTTCATCACCATGGAAAATTTTCTACCTTTTTGATGACCCCAACCTCGATGGTTTGTTTACTTTTCAAGTTGCAAAAATTAAAAACAGTAATTTCAGATATGAAGAAAAAACACTTTGATTTTATTGAAACAAACGAAAGAAGTTTGATCCATACTTATGGTTAAGTATACAGAGACCTTAGACACACAAACTTAGAACTAAGCGGCGGCCACTGCTGCTGCAGCTGCTTCCTCTTTCTCCCCTTGTTGCCCGCCAAACGACAGCTGTGGGTTACAGCAACTTCCCTTTCCACCGCCACCGCTGCCGCCACCGCCGCTACTTTTCCAATCCAAGATGGCGGCCATGGGCATTTAGGCGCGCTCGCCTCGGATGCGTCTGGCCAGCTGGATGTCCTTGGGCATAATGGTAACGCGCTTGGCATGGATGGCGCACAGATTGGTGTCCTCGAACAAACCCACCAGATACGCCTCGCTGGCCTCCTGGAAAATTCCAAAGGCAGACACAATTGATTATTACATGACCGCGTGAAATGGGGTCGGGGGGGGAGGGGTCCAAATGTGCACTCATACCTGCAGGGCTCCGATGGCCGCAGACTGGAAACGCAGATCCGTCTTGAAGTCCTGGGCAATTTCACGAACCAGGCGCTGGAAGGGCAGCTTGCGGATCAGCAGCTCGGTACTCTTCTGGTAGCGACGGATCTCGCGGAGGGCCACGGTTCCAGGGCGATAGCGATGTGGCTTCTTCACGCCTCCAGTGGACGGCGCAGACTTGCGGGCCGCCTTTGTGGCCAGCTGCTTGCGGGGCGCCTTGCCTCCGGTGGATTTACGGGCAGTTTGCTTGGTACGGGCCATTTTAGCTTCAGAATCTCAGTGTTTGCACGCTCAAAACAAGTAGTTGAACTTTTGACTTTTCTTTCTCAATCACAACTGGACTGTACAAAAAATTTTCACAATTAAATACATAGTGCTGGATAAACAACGATGTCATCATCGATATTTTTAGCGATGGTTTCCGATGTTTTTGTTTATATCGATAGTAATCGATTGGTCATTTTAAATAAACGTAATCTAACTCGTAATGCGATTAATAACGTAATCTTGTCACGTAAAGTTATTTATACTATATTTTATATGGCAGTTAATTTAATTTAATTTATTATTTAATTTTTTTCTTCCTTTTCAGTAGTTTTATTTTATTAATGGTCGGTTAATAGTAACTGTGGTCATCATAGCTGTATCGATTTAATTTTTATTGATGTTACTTCACACAAGATTATGGACCACAGCCCAGAAAAATCCCAAATTAATATTTATGAATTAAAGTCGCATGTAGGTATTTAATTATGGAAACGTTAATTTTATTTACAATTTTCGTTTTATTTCCAGACTGGGAGGTATAACAAAACAAGGATGGTCATAAAGTTGGAATATTATGGAAAAGCATTAGGCTTTCTGTTACCTACTGGTTGGGCATTAAAGATCAAGATACTGAGGGCCACTACGTATCCGTGGCCTCAAACAAGCCAGCACAATTTGTAAAGTGGGAATTATATCTGCTTTAAAAGGGGTGCTTAAAGAAGGAGTATATCCCACTTTAAAAATGGTCCTGCCTTCTCCGAGGCCTCAGACACGTAAAGGCCCTCAGTGTGCTGATCGTTAATGCCCAACCAGTAGGTAAATTGCCTGCGATTAGCTGTGATTCTTTTTCTTTTCGATTGGAGGCTAAATAACCGACCATCTCACTACAGCTGTTAGTAGAAGTAGTGCAATTCTGAGCACTTTTCACATTTCAAAAGTATCTAGAGACGATCCGCTCGAAATCCGGTGGGACTTTATTTCTGAACCGATCTGGGATCTGCTGGTTTGGGCATCCATCATTTTCATAAATAAAATCACAGATCGAGTTACGAATAAAGTACCATCGGGTTTCAAGCGGATCGGTTCCAGATATTTTCGAATTGTAGAAAGTGAGCAGAATTGGACTACTGCTGCAAGCACCTGTCGTGTGATGGAAGGTTATTTAGCCTCCATTCCAAACGAAGAAGAACTCACCGCTAATGATATTGGCTGTGCATCAAAAATTAGGAAGGCCTTCGCTTATTCCATCCTCCATCTTGGTCAAATGTTGGTCTTTCATTTTTAACTCCACCTCCTGCAGTTGACTTTCCAGCTTGGCCTCCATTCCTTATAGTGGTCTTGACATCTTGCCACGCTGACCTTCCAATCTGTCCAGCTTTCCTTAGTTGCATTTACGACGTCAACATTACAGGTATACTGACGTGGCGCTTGGTGTCGGATTTGGACCGCCGGACTTTGATCCTCCTCCAAGGTTCCATTTCCATCCCTCAGACTCCACGTCACCAGTGCCCAAGGGAGATAAGTTCCGGACTAGAACATCTTGGCACTGGGAGTGTGTGTACAGCCGCTTAAGTTGAATGTCTCGGATCTTCTGATTCCCGAAATCGTTAGATGACTTTCGAAGAGGCATCGCACTTCCGTTGGGACTGATAAGAGCTATTTATAAAGCTTATATACTTCATATATATTTTCAAATGTTTGAATGTATTAAACAAGTTGCCCTACTTAGGCATATATACTAGAATTACACTACCAAAAATTGCCATCGATGTGACACTATTATTGCCTCGAAGAATCCCACCTAAAAAATTATATTTCTACTGGAACCTTTCAAACTTTAATAGAAACAGTGTTCTTCCTAAAGGATCAGATTAGTGATACATAGTTAACATTTTCATGTAAATTTAATTATTTATTATTGATTAATTCATTAATATTTTCTCTGCAGCTTTTTAAAAAATGACGTAGTATATAATTGGGCGCCAACAAAAAAATCAAAATCAGTGTTCCGTAACAAATCTCTAATATCGTGTTATCGATATGTGTTATCTGCCGTCGCTCATCACTCAACGGAAGTTTTAAAACATAGCGGGACTACTTCACGTTTTCCAATAACAAAAAGAAAAACCTTACAAACTGCATTAAAAATGTCCGAAACCGAGTTCGCAATTTGCCCTTACAACGAGAGTCACCGCATTGCGGTATTCCGGATGCCGAAGCACCTCGTCAAGTGTGAGCTGAACTACCGTGGACCGCCGCTGAAGATCTGCAAGTACAACGCCGCACACCGCGTTCTCGACATGGAGGAGCACCTTAAAGAGTGCCCCTACTATCGCCGCTTCATGGACAACAAGTGCTTGGAAATAGCCCTCACCACGCGCACTGCGCCCACCCAGGAGGATGGGCACGTTGTCAGCACTCCGCTATAAGTTTAGATTTAAGATCAAAGTTACAAACAGTTGTATGACATGTACATACATACATGCCCAATTTGCAAGCTTCTTGAAGAAGCGCCGCCCATTGTAGAGGCCCCTTTGTATTGATTTCATTCACATTACGATTAAAATATATATTTGTTTCGCTGAGAATCTTAACACTACTAGAAAAGCAAAAGTTTTGGTATTTACACGCCTCCCATTGCACAAAGCCTAGAGTCAAGTCGTCTTGCGTTTAAAACATTTGCAGGCACTTTTCCACAACTATTTACAGCTCTAAGTTTACGTCTAAGACTAGCTATCTACACAATGTCCATATCCAGGTCCGAGTCGGCCCCCTCACCGTCAAGCAGCTTTCGTTTGTCCGTGGCCTTGGCGGTGGCCTCGCTCAAATTGGCCAGCGGGCGCACCTTGCCCAGGTTGACGACCGGACTCTGGGTGTACAGGTAGATGGCGTAGGAGACCACCGCTATGGCCAGCGCGGTGTTCATGTAGATGGGTATGGAGAATAGGAAGTAGCACAGGACCGCCGTGAAGAGCAGCTCCAGGGCGCTGGCAAAGGTCTTCAGAATGGAGTTCATGTATTTGAGGAAGAAGCTGGTCACTATGCCGATGGCCGCGTTGTTTACAATAATGATCAGCACACTGAATCTCATGATGCTGCTTAGGTTGTGGGGACTGAACGCATCGAGGAGCTCGCCGCGCAGCAGGAGGATCGCGGCATTGCAGATAATGGAGTCCAGGTACATGAAGACATTCTGTACAAAGATATTCACATCCGCACCCTTGTCCTTCAGCAGATACTCGTTGTAGACGCCCGCCAGACACGAGCAGATGGTCTGGGCCAGAATGAAGACGGCACTCAGGCTGAAATCAAAGCCGGACATGTTCTTCCCGTGTACCTGCTGTTCCTGATAACCGTCGATAACGGTTTGGTTAGACGATTGCTTCCGTTGCTGGATGGCCGCAGACTCGCTGTCGTCGTTGGCGTCGCTGTAGAAGCTCCCGAAGTCAATCTGCTTCATCATGCAGCCGAGCGTGAGCAGAATGAGGGAGATCCACTGTCGCTGAGAGAGGTACTTCTTGAAGATAATTTGGAATAGAATGCCCGTGACAACCACGCGCAGCTGCAACAGCAGATAGTAGGTGGTGGGGTCGAACGTGGCCAGATTGACGAAAGCCAGGTTGTTGTACAGGCAGTACAGGAACGCCGGCACCATATACAGGGCCAACACGTTCCTGTCCTTGTGCACATCCCGCACCAGGGAGCGGAGATTGTTGCTGTTGGAATAAGTACCATGTGGGTTAGTTGATAACGCGAACGGATGTCTGTATTTCCCACTCACTCTCGGCAATAAAGGCAGGTGGAGACAATCAGCTTGAAGACCTCGGTGAGCAGTACCACCGTTACGGTGTTGTAGCCATAGGAGTTGTTTGATTCCTGGGATGCTGTGACAAAGATTCCTACAAGAAATCACCAATTAGGGCGTTGGTCCAAAGCTCGATAATGGGAAACATTTAAATACCCTGGCCGATGAAGAGGGACATGTACAGCAGGAAGATCACAAAGGTAAGCTTGGTGGGGAAGAGTTCACGCCAATTAGTCGACATCTTTGGGCTCGTTGGCTGGCCAGTGCCAGCGTAGCGTTGCTAACGAGAAACCGAATATCCAAAACTGAAGGGCCACAGCGACGCGCCTCGCCTCCCCTAGCGGCTCCACTTTACTCTACTGAGGGAGCGCTGCTGCTATCAGTTCCGCTTGTACGCCGATTCGTGACAAGCGGGCAACTTTTGGTCTTTCTAGGAAATGAATTCGTTCTCTCAACGTCTGATAAACAATATATTTTGGCTTTTTTTATCGCCCTGGAGACAGCTGATTGGACCAGCAGAGTTGGCAATATAGCTAGTTTTGGCTAGAACTAGCTTTTTATCTATGAAGGAAAACCATGATACTTGATATATAAGGTAGTCCGGTCGGGTCCAAATCGTTCGCTTTAGGGGCTTGTTTTGACAACTCGTGCTTTTTCATTGACACTCATTTTTATTGTCACACCGACAAGCTATATCCATCTCCCTTATATTGTGATAGGCCGAACTGAGGTCTTTTTTTACGACAGGACTACCTTATAAAATTGTATCATGCGCAAAACTAGGCTGGCGTTTTAGTGTGCCCAGAAGCCGCAAAAGTGAAAATTTTGAGATTTTTTAGGTGGAAAGCCAAGTTTCCATCTGGCAGCACTCTTTCTGACAAAATCGCCAAACAGGAAATATTTTCATCCGTAAAAATGGCAAACCGCGCTGGCCGACACGCTCGCACTGAGGATTCAGACAACACCATAAACTACGTCCAGTGCGATGGCCTGGTGAGTACTCCAGGAACAGTCAGATCTGGCCGGGAACAGCGGGCAAACCGGCCCAAAAGTTGGTGCCACGCGCTGTCTCGAGGTGTGACTGTGTGTGTGAGGGGCATGGGCAAAAACCCCGGCGAAATGCCACTGCCTACGCCCATGCACGCGTAATGACAAATGTAATAATATTTATATGAAAATTCCCTTCCGCAGGCCGTGATGAAAATGGTGAAGCACTGCCATGAGGAGTCGAGCAACATGGACCTCGCCCAGGGCGCCCTGCTCGGCCTGGTGGTGGACAAGTGCCTGGAAATCACCAACTGCTTCCCGTTCCCCAAGACCGGCGATGAGAGCATGGATGAGGAAATGTACCAGCTGACGGTGATGCGTCGCCTCCGTCGCGTCAACGTGGATCATCTTCATGTGGGCTGGTACCAGAGCTCCGATGTGGGCAACAGCCTGTCGCTGGCTCTGTTGGAGTCGCAATACCACTACCAGACCAGCATTGAGGAGTCCGTTGTGGTGGTCTACGACACGCAGAAGTCGTCGCGCGGCTTCCTCTGCCTGAAGGCCTACCGCCTCACGCCGCAGGCCATCCAGATGTACAAGGACGGTGACTTCTCGCCCGAGGCATTCCGCACCTTGAAGGTGGGCTACGAGAGCCTGTTCGCCGAGATTCCCATTGTCATCAAGAACTCTCCGCTTACCAACATCATGATGAGCGAGCTGAACGAGCTGCTTCCCGAGGATAAGGGCCACAACTTCCTGGATCTGGGCACGGCCTCGGTGCTGGAGAACCAGATGCGCAGCCTGATTGAGCGTGTCGACGAGCTGTATCAGGAGGCGGTGCGCTACAACAAGTACCAGCAGGTGGTCTTCAAGCAGGATACGGTAAGAAATGTAATTTTTGTTTTATTTTATTAGATTTTAATGGTTTTGTTTGATTTTCCAGGAGAAACACCGTGCCCTGGCTAAGCTGGCCGCCGAGAATGCTGTGCGGACGTCGAAGGGTGAGCCAACGGTGCCCGAGGAGGAGGTTATCAAGCAGTTCCGCCCAATGCCCGTGCCCATCCGTCTGGCGGCCGCAATTACCTCTGGCCAGATCAACACCCACGCCCAGCACATTGCCCAATTCTGCTCTCAGTCGCTGGCCAAACTCTTCATCACCGAATCGCTGCAAAACGCTAAGGAAGCCAAGGAAATTAAGTAGATTAGCTTATACGTTATATGTTTTTTTAAACTGAGGCCACATCGTAATTGAGAAACAAACACCGCGATATTCCTGTGCATTCTGATGATAAAAATAAAACTGTACCCCATTGGATGTGACTGGAGGCGAATTACAAACCGAGTGTTATCTGTCGATTTTGGGGTGAAGTTTCTAAACCATGGATGTATACATATTTCAAGTAAGTTTATGAGTTTTTCTAAAGGAGCCCTGCACACTTGGCACTATAAAGATCAAACCTCTACACTGCCGGCAACAATTATCGCTCAGCAAGGATAACAAAAGCAATATGCAAAACAAGCATGACTTTGACAGGTTCCCAGCAAGACAATCGGTGTCCAACCCTGCTCTAACTAGGAAATTCTTTTTGCAAATATCCCAAACTGTAATATTGATTTTAATTTTCCATTGCGAAAACGTCCAAGGGGATGATAATACATTTTATTGTATTAAATAAGCTTACGACCTAAAATGCAATCCTCCCCCTGAATAATTTTCCTGCCCTCGCCTCTGGCCTGGGGGGGGGGGTGGTTTTTCCAAGCTTAAAATCGAATCCACCGGCCTTGCTCGTGCGCAGATCCATTGTTTGGTTTCAGTTTTTCGGTCGCTCTCCTGCTGACGGCATCGCCATCGCATTTTCCCCACACACGGCAGAGGCAGCAGCTTGTATTCTTTGGTTTGTTGTTTTTCGCTTCGCGTTTTAAATTAGTTTAGAAACAAATTACTAACCGCAAATGGCAAAATGCTGTCCTACGACCTTAACGAACGCCTGCTGACTGCGGTGAAAGGTGGCGACTTCGAGCAGGCACTTGGCTGCATCATGCAAGGTGCTCAGGCCTCGTATGTATCGCCCAGTTGCGGACGCACAGCTGTGGGCACAGCCGCTATCCTGGGGGACGCGGAGTTGCTGGAGCTTCTGGTTCAGTCGTGCGAGGAACCAGAACTAGATGTCTTCCATCAATGTGAGTTTTCCCGGTGGCAGTTAGAAAATGTAACATCATTTTCGTTCATTGAAGTTAAATGTAATACAATTTTAACTAACCATTTCCGGTGAAATAAATGAAGAATAAGGTTCGGCTACATAATAGATACATATTTTAATACAGAACTAAATAGTTTGGTTGGATCTGTAAAAGCAAACTGTAAGATGAATAACTACGTATCTTCTTCTCTGAAAAGAAACGATTCTTTTGTGTGTGGAAACTTCTCTCAAAAACACTTTGGCATACAACCAAAAATCAGCCATAACTTAGTGAAAAATACATAAAATTCAAATCGGAAAGCATTTCCATGCTAGTTTTTCCGAGCCTAACAAAACTGTATACTAGATTTTAAATTTTAAGAAATCAAAATTTTTTTCAATTTTTCAGAATTTGAATGATGTAACCCCTTTTCAAATTTTTTTTAAATGTTTCTTCCGGACATGGCTAGAAAGACGCGCCTGTTAATGCTGATCAAGAATATATATGGTGTGTATAGGGTCGGAAATGACTACTTCACTAAATAAAAGCATAATAACTTAAAAAAACGGAAATATCTAAATACTTCATATAAAATTTTTTTTGAACAATTAAAGTTTAAAAATTTCATAACTAAGCAAAGAAAAAATATCAAATTCAATTTGGAAAGCTTTTCTGTGCTAAAAAAAATTAATAAATCTGCAAACTAAATTAAATAATTTCTATCTAATAAATTATTTAATATAAAATTCGGTGATTTTCGACCCTCATCAAGATTTTTTCCAAGTGTAGCCATTGCCCCACATCCAAACCCGTACCCAAACACACCTATGATTTTTCGGCTGCCCAACGAAATGCAAGCCAAGCAGGCAGAGAGCGAGGTAGAAGAGTGAGTGACCGAGACCTGGAAACCGGTTATCTAGGTGTTGGTTGCCCACTGATAACATTGGGGGAGAGCTTGAATCGGTTGTCCAGAGCAACGTCAGTAGGCTGTGAGGTTTATAGAATAGAACAGGTTGCCATACAAAAAGTACTCAAACATTTATTTCAATAAAAACTTTAGAGAAAACTATTTGGAATTCTTGCTGATTTAAAAAAAATATTTTCAGCCCACACGGATAGTCTGGAGATCGAGCAAACGCCCGAAGGTATGGAGAAACTGGAGTGGGTGGATGAGTTCGAGAACTGTTCGGAGAATGGAGTCAGCGGTGGATCCGAGGATAGCCAGCTATATCAGTATTATGCCAAGACCTTTGAAAACACCGGAGAATTTCTATCTCAGTGCTGCGTGTCCTGCCGGGAACAGGATCCGCACCTCTACGATGCCGACTTGGCCACCCCCTTGCACTATGCCGCCTCCTGGGGCCATGAGGAGTGTGTCCGCATCCTCCTGGAACACAATGCCCCCATTAACGTGGTTAACAGCGAGGGCTATGCTCCGCTTCATACTGGTGCGGGCTTTGCCGGGGTCACCAAGCTGCTGATCAAGCACGGAGCCTTGGTAAATGCCAAGACGCTGAGTGATGGCAGGACCGCGCTTCATTTGGCCATCGAGAGCAAGTCCAGGGAATCCGCACGCCTGTTACTCCAGACGAATATCAATATCAATGATACGGACGACATAGGCGAGACCCCCCTGATGACGGCAATTGCCTGCAGTATGGTGGATCTGGCCGAGGAGTTAGTGGAGAAGGGAGCCCGCATCAATCTCCAGGATAAGCATAATAACACCGCTCTGCTGTACGCAGTCCGAGGTCGCCATGGCCAGTTGGCCAAGTTGCTGCTTGAGCATGGAGCTCGCCGACTGGCATCGCAGCATCTCCTGCATATTGCGGTTGAGAACAGCGACAGGATGTTGGTGGAGCTTCTCCTGCAATATGGCGAGAGTTTGTCGGTGCGGAACGAAGACAACCACACTCCCATTATGGTGGCCATCCACCGCCAGTGCCCAAAAATGTTGGAGTACCTGCTGGACACAGCTGAGGAACATCGCCGATTGGGTCTCTACACAGATGCCCAGGACGTAGGATTGGTTTTGTTTGCCGTGCAGCAAATAGTTCTGGTTGAGAAGTTCAAGGGCATCCTGCGAGTCTTGCTGGCCAAGCTGGCGAGTGCCCGCGAGGATTTATATGGCACCTGTACACCCACAATTGTTTGTGGGCTAATCTACTGCCAGACTCCGTTGTCCAGGACCATTAACTTGTTTCACCTGGAACTCGCCGAGTTTCTCATCCATGAGGGCTGCAATCTAGCTCAGATTTGCCGTGAACATGTGGTCAACGAGCTGCGAGCCAACTGCTCGGCCAGGACTTTGGCCTTTGCGAGATTGTTGTGTAAGTTGGGGGTTCAGGGAAAAAGTAGATACCACTTGCTAAATGTATTATTATTATTCCTCAGGCAACGCTGGCTTTCAGTTTCCGCACAAGCAGCGAGCTTTGCCCAAGGATTGGTCACCAGCTCGCCTTGCTTTTGAGCGTCAGATGACCCTGTTTGGCACCCAGCCGCGCAGCCTGCAATCTCTCAGTCGTCTGGTGATACGAAAGCATCTTCTGAAATCCCTCCGAACAAGGCTGGACGTGCAAGAGAAGTATCTGGCCACCCAGGAGCGTTCCTCGCTGGGCAGGATTATAGATGAGTTCGCCATACCCGCCACATTGAAGCTCTACCTCAGCGACTTTACCGAGTTGCCAAAGGTGACGACCGTAGAACCGCATCCGATACCCGGTGTCAGAAGCTTTGAGTCATGGGATTGAGTGCGTTTTTCAGGAATTTATTCAGATAATATAGGTTTTATATATGTAGCATATAGTTTTATATCTTGACGATGAGTGTGTGTGTGTTGTGAGGGAAAGGAGGGAGGCTGTGTTGGTGTTTAATATAAATTTCCTTAATTCTGCAACATTTCAACACGACTCTCTGATGTGATATTAACTTATTTGAATATGTATTACGACTTTAAGAACAGGGATTTCTGCACAGCTTTCCCTCGAAAGCGTCTGTCTCTTTAACCTTCTTTTCTAGTCTAAATTACTTGCACATGTTTCATGTTTATTAGGCATGTATATATAGTCTATTTAGGTTATATTCATACTAGGTTATCTTTGACTATGCCAATATTAAGATTACTTTCCATATACAATCGATTTCTCAAACACACAACTGGAAAAGTATTTGCAATTTGTAAACTACACTTTTACAACGATATATCGAGTGCAATTTTATATAAGGAAAATAAACAATATATAGAGGTTTTAAAAAGAAAATGTAACTTTTAGTGCTTAAACTACAGAAAATACATTAATGCTGCTGATGCTGCTGCTGCTGCTCCTTCTAGGACTTGAGCAGTAGCTTAAAGTCATCATTGGCGTTCTCCATGATGTATTCAAATGCAATTTTATCCTTTTTGTCCTTGACCAGCTTCAGGGTTGGTTCCTTCTGCAGCAGGTAGCGGCACACCTCCAGCTGGCCGCGCGAGGCAGCCCGATGCAGGGCCGTCTGCCCGCACTCATCCTGGAGCAGAAGATTAGCCTTGTGTTCTGAGAGAAGCTTTACAATCTCCAAGTGGCCTGCAAAAGGGGGTATAAGTATTTATACAAAATTTATGTGATTTTTGAAACCTACCCATCATGGCTGCTCTATGCAGGGAGGTGGCTCCTGCCTTGGTCACTGCATTCACATCCACCTTGCCCTCGTCTAGCAAGAGCTTGCAGATCTGCTCATTGCCATTGCGGGAGGCGTAGTGCAAAGCCGTATAATCGCACTCATCACGGGCCATGGACTGGCCCTTCTTGATGAAATCCCTCACACGCTCCACTTCGTTGTAGATGGCTGTAAGTATTATTTCTAAATTAATTACACTTCTCAATTCGCAATTAACAGGTCGTGAAGGGGCTTGTCCCCATTATAAAGCCAGAAAACTAGTTAGAAATAGTTTTGCTCACCTGCATTCCAGATGCCCCGATCAAAGTCCATGTCGCTGAGCGTCTGCTGTGCAGGCTGCGTCTGCTTGTGGCACTTGCAATTGTCCGCGCTGTGCTGATCCATTTTCGCCTGCTGATAATTTCGAGTTTGTTTGTTGGGTTTTGCCGAATTCCTTGCCTCGCCTAGCCTTGTTGTTCTTTCGTTTCAAGTTTTCAAGTGACAGTGTGATCGCAACATATACGATTTACACCTCACGCTGCATAGTCCAACAGATCTCGGCCTCGCCACAACTGCAGACAACCTTATAGCTCAACTGGGCCAAAGTGTTTAGCATAACCATCGGCGACACTGCCACCATAATACCATTCACGCACGCCTTGACGCCGCTCTCGAAGCGCTTTGATAGAGCCTGAACTTCGGCCTGGTTTAGTCCAAAAACGGTACAGGTGTAATCGTGAAGGGATCCCTTGACGGTGATGTAGGCAAAGTTACCCTCCGACTGCAGTATGGGCACTGGAATGGTCACCACATTGGCCTGACAAGTGGCAGCGGCAGAGGCGGCAGCAGCAGCAGCGGTGGCAGCGTTCAGGGAACCAGTCGATGACGTGGACACGGCCGGCGGTAGATCGCTGTTGAGATTCAGAGACTCCTTCAGCCCGGTCACGCCCTCACTCATAGTTCGTTTGTCTTCTGGGACTCACTTGGTAGCCCCTCCTACGTTCAGAGTATATATATATATGTTTTGGAACAGTATTCCCTAGGTTGCTATAGTTTTTCATACACTCACACGCACACACAGTCACTAGCACATACACAAAATTATACAATTAGGAGTAGAGTTCGTTGGTTGTTTGCTTCTTTTTTTCTGGCTTTTAAAGTTGGCTCTTATTCTGGCAAATCCACCTTGTGATAGTTGCCTAAGCTGGCTGCCTCGCGGCCAATATTGGACAGATTCTCGCGTACCACAGACTCGGTCTCCAAGGGTTCTGGCTCATCGAACTCCTTGCGCATCGTCCACATGTACTCGTTGTAGTCCTGCTTCACTGCCGTCGATGAGCTGGCCACCACGCGAAAACCCAAAATCTGCAAAGAGAAAAACAAGAGAAAAATTCATGAGTCATTTTTAGGGTAAATGTCAGCAATTGCTGGAACAGCTAAGCCATTAGTTGATTAGCTTTGGGTGGGGTTTAATTTAAGGGGTTATCCGGGTTTAGAACCACAAAAAAAGGCCTATTTTCCAGAATTTTTTTAAAAGATCCTATGACAATTTTGCAAATTTCATTTATTCTACATTAATACATAAGGTTAGAACTAAATTCTGTAAAATTTTGAACAAGAAATATTCACAAGTGAGCCGTTGAGGGAGGGTTGAACTTAACCCTAAAAAAATTATGTCCTTGCGGTAGGCAGGATTTCTCCGTCAATTTTTATTTGAAATCAAAAAACCAAAATTTTTCTGTTAGCTTATGCGTCTGGCTTGTCTCTGAACGAAGGATTTTTTTAAAAATTAAAAATTGAATTTTTGGGAGCGTTTTTCATGAAAAATTACACTTTTTACGTCAATTTTGGCCATATTTGGGGTTATAAAATCGGTTCTAATTGAAGATATAAAAAATTCTTCGTTCAGAGACAAGAAAAACATGTCTAGAAGAAGTGTGGAAAATCTGAAGTCGATCGGTCCAGTAGTTTTCGAGAAATCTTGACTACCGACTTCAAGAAAGTTATTTCGAGAAAAACGCGTTTAAAGTTTTAATTGCCAGTTGTGACTCATACGACGCGCTGGGCTTTAAATTTCTCGCATTCCTACAGTTTTGCTTCGATCGACTTGAAATTTTCGGACAACATTCCTGACACTTTGTACTATTATATAAAAAAGTTTGAAATAAATGCATTTTTTGAAATTTCAAAACCCGGATAACCCCTTAAAGAACAACAAGGACATTTAAAACAGTGTTTAAATAGAGACTAGTAGCAAAAACTTAGTTGTAGTCATAATAGATAGGCATATATCTCATTTAAGGTAAGAGTTTTCCATTCGTTTTTGCTTTTGGTAGAGTGTTCTTAGTTAAGCATTTTTTAAGAACAATTTAAATTAGATATTTACAAAATTTAGAGACAGGTACAAATTTTATTTCCTAATTTTAAAGATAAAGAAAACATAGATAGTCTTAATTCCGGAGTATTTAAACAGTAACAAAAGAAATAACCCCAAAAAAATACCCAATCGATCATAAATAAAGATTTTCTATCCTACAAAAGATAACACAAAATAAAAGCTACTGAAAATACCTGCTCAGGAATGTCTAGCCAGATTAGATAACATATAATTCTTTGAAATATAAAAGTTACTCACTTCCAGCGCCGAAAGAATGCGACAGGGATGCACTAGGTAGACGATGGTGGACTCGTCACTGTAGCCGCCGCAAGAGAACTTGTTCAACTGCTCGATGTCGTCAGCTGAAAGTACATTACGGGGTGGAGACAGGCATTGGTTATCAGGCTGGGTATTACTTCTCTTTCTGGGAAATGGCTTTCCTTTTCGTTTATGGTCTCCGGTGGGTAAATGTTTAAACTGAGCGTAAACAAAAGATAACATGGCTTGGATGACGTCAGGGCAGTCAGCCCCAATGCCATTGTCTTGTCAATGTGAGTGTGCTAATTAAGCAAAAAGCCAAAAACATATTGACTGCTTGCTGTGTTTCATAATAAAAAACCAAACAGAAAAAAATTGGATTTTCTTTCTCTCACAAGCAAAGTGCAATGACTTCTCTGTGCTCAGAACATGTAAAAAGTACCATAAATAGGAGATGCATCCAAATCGAGTAAATATATATAGTATATGGTACAAATATGTGCGGTGTACGTACTTCAGACCCGGTCTGTGATGTGAAACTGAACTGCACGCAGCGAAAAACAAAACGAAACTGACGACGACGGCCTCGTCTGTGGGAGTTGAGCTTCGCCACAGTGGCGGTCGGAAAAAGTGTGGGGCAAATGGCATGCAATTAAGGGTCAGCTGTTGAAATATAGACTCAGATAAAGTGCTAAAAATATTGCGAGGTGTAAGCTTTATATGTGAAATGAAGCCACTGCTCTGGAGCAATTATTAGGTAAATTGTATATTGATTTATGTAAGTTTTTTTAGAGAGTCGAAAATGAATATTTATACATATATTTCTACAGGGTTGCAAGGGGTTAAAATGATTTTATTTAATTAAGGATATTTTATTTTTGGTATTTATAAATTTTTAAAGATGGATAAACCAGTTTGAACAATAAAAGTAAAAGTAAATTCAATATAGTCATGTTTTTAAGGTTTTTAAGTGAACAAAAAATAAAGGGTTTTATTTTTCGAAATCCTTAATCCAATTAATATATTTATTTCAGGCTATATTATACGTTCTTTTGTATATATATTTATGGATTTTTAAAGATTTATAAACCAATTTAAACAATAACAGTTTGACGAATTTCTGGAATTATTTGTAAAATCAATATAATCCTGTTTTTAAGATTTTTATAATTATAATTAGCTTTCATTTTCAGTATTTTAATGTTGATTTCTTATTAATATTAAGTGTAGATGTTAATCTTAAAATTCGATTCATATATTTAAACATGCAAGCTATGCATGCCCATTGTGTTCGACCTCTACTGTCTATCCATTCAAAAAATGTTTAACAGTGTTAAATTTATGAGAAGAAGCTCAAGCTTCGTACAGTGAAGGTCAAAAAAAACTAAGCATCAGTAAAAACAACATACAAAAATGACTTAGCTCAAATAAAAAGTAAACAAATCATTTCCCCACACCCTAAAATCCAAGAAAAATTGAGAAAACTTAAAAGAAACGTCTCCTTGCTGGGAATTTCCTCGCCGCCACTGTCTAACCATTCAGCAAGTGTTTGTTTGTAGTGCAAAGTGGAAACGACCGAAAACTAACGCTTAAAAAAAAGCTAGCGTGCTTTGGATATGTATGGTATCTGTGTGTGCTTTGTATCTGCGCGCTCTCCAAATTAATTGTGTCGCAATAGTAAAGATACGACAAAAAAATAAAGGCGGAACGAAAACAAAACGGCAAATCTACGAGGGCCAAGATAACCCTGGGATAGATGAATGGTTGTGGTTGGCATTTACCTTTCAATCCCGAGACGAGCACTCGCCATGGATACTTGTGGCTGTAGGAGGCTAAGTTCCCCCGTATGATAATGTACGGCATTTGGCCTGATTTCTGCTGCTGATCTGACGATTAATTAGCGCGGGCGTGCCAACGAAAACCGTAAGTAAGATAAGTAAGTGAAAAACAAAAGATATATACGCGCAAAACGATACTGGAAAAGCCCGCTCTCGAACTGGCGGAGCTGCTGGTTGGCAGGTTGGCTCACGACTGAAACCGAAACCGAAACCGAATTTGGTTTCGAGGTTTTCCCAGCTGGCGATGGCTTTTGGCTTTGGCTTTGACTGTAGCTCTTTCTGTTGCTTTTGCTGTTGTGCTTATTATTTATAGGCGTCGCGCAGCGTAGTTAGCTCTCTGAAATGGTTAGCAGCTTTTTATTGGATTAGCCTACTACAGTATAAGGTGGCAGATACCCAAATGACAAAGTGACGCATTCGGCCAGGATAATCATCAATGCGATATATGAGAGCCAGGGACGTGGACAAGGGAGGATTTTTTTGGGAATGAAATTTAGAATCAGGTTCAAAATTAATTAATTAATAATTATTTATACCCTTGCAGGAGGAGGGTGTTGTAATTTTAGTCAGAAGCTTGCAGCGCAGTGAAGGCGTCATTTCTGATCCTATTTTTTCACTTTTCACTATTCACTTTTATTCTTGATCAACATTAACAATCAAACTTCTGACTAAAAATGTAATATCATTACAATTAATTAATAATAATATAAAATATATTTAATAAAATAAACAAAATTTGAAAAGAAACTTATGCAGGAAGCAATTAGCTTTGTTAATTCTCAAAATATCTACCCCCCAGAGTCCCATGGGTTTCCATTGATGACACCCAGAGCCCCCAGCGCTCTTTCTCGCTCTACCTCACGGCTAATCGCAACCCCCGCGACCAGTTGCATGCCAAGCTTAAGTCAGGGGCTATAATTACTGGCCGGTCGACTAATGAGCAAGTATTTTTGTGGCCCGGCGCCCAGCGAAATAATAATAAAACCCAACCGAGGCGGTCAACAACTCCTGCACACACACACACACACACACAAAGGGAAGCCTGGAAACACACACACTGGCGCACATCGCACACCCAAAATACACACAGAGCCATTTGAAGTGTCCTTTGCGTGTTTGGGGCACACAAAATGAACGTTGAATTATGATCAAATTTCTAAATAAATAAACGCGCGGGCTCAAACGAGGTTTATGCCACACAGCTGTCGCAAAATGATGTCATTTGAATTTAATCACCTTTTTTGCTTTTTTTCTAGATGTTTTCATTGTTCCGTTCCCACTACTTTTCGGTGCACCTTGGCAGGTGTGATAACTCACCTGAACGTCTGATTTTGATGTTTCCTCTCGGCTCTTTCTCGGCACTCGGTGCACTTGCAGCGTTTATACTAGTTTAGTTTATTTATTGTTAATTTTCATTTGTGAAATTCCAAAAAATTTGCAAGCTGTGCGCGACTGTGTTGGTAAGTTATGCGCTGCCCGTGTCCAGTGCTGGTAAAGCTCGGTTGTGGTATTTTCCTGGAGGTATTTTTTTTAGTATTATTCAAAGGGTGAATCTGGCATTTTTAGAGGCTGGCCGGGCGGTCATACCGAACGCGTAAATAAATGAATTTTTTTGTGTAAAATAAAATATTGACAAAACTTCTAAATTAAATTAAATAAATACTAAACACATCTTCCACTGAGCGGAATCTCGTTTGGAAGAAGAGGTGGATTTATAGATTCGCAGGAGCAGTCAGCGGAGCCAACAGCTGTCGGAGTCTGCTGCGGTGAGTATTCAAATTTCGAAAAAGAGTCTTTCGAATGACATTTGCATATTTCAGCCGCCGCCTGGCGAAAGGTGAACCGAGTTCATTGGGTTTTTCGGCTATTACGTGTACGACCCCGTAGCCCGCTCCCCGCCAGCCTTTCCTCTGCCACTCGGGAGTGCTTGTGTGTGTATGTGAGATCTTGAGAAGCTGCGCCGCTGCCAACAATATAAAAACTAGAAAACAGAAAGAAACCGGAGGGAACAGTGGACGGAATACGCCGCTCGGCATAATCAATTAAAAACAGAAAACAACAAATGTCTAGAAATCTGCCGCTCATCTCTCTGGCACTGTGTGCCGTCGCCTTCCTGGCCGCCGTGGGACCCATGCCCGCCTTTGGAGCCGTGGCCACTCACAAGCATGAGAAGCATCTGAGCAAGGAGCGGGTAAAGGACGGCATCTATGCCCCCCGGGATGCCCATCATCATGGCGACGATGGCGAGCACAATGTGGAGTTTGACCACGAGGCCATTATTGGTGAGTCAGAGCGCAAAAAAATAAAGATAAAATCAAAGATATCTATCTTATAAATTATATATAAAATATTCATTTAATATATTTACATATACTAAAAGGAAATCTTTATACGATTCTTAATTTTGTTTTTAAATTTAAATTTGAGTAAATGGACTTTTGTAAATACGCGTTTTTAGCACTAGGATATGGATTAATATTCTATTTTATTACTTTAACTTGACCTTCAGAAAATAAGAACAAAGAAAAACGAAATTTTAGCATAAATAATATGTTATATTTATCGATTTTTGGCGGTGTATGTTGAGGCAATTCATTTGTTTACCTTTCTGCGGTTTATTTTTGTGGGTCTGCACATGGATAAAGCAGTAAAACATTAAAAATAAACATAAAAGAATTTAAAAGGATTAGAAAACTGGCCAAATTTATTTCCAGAAAATACATAAACAATTTACCGAATATATTCTTTTAAATTCCCCTTATTTCATTCTATATAATACATTCCATACCTTTTTTTTTCGCTCAGTGCTCGCATTAAAAACCATAAAATTCGCATTTTGAAAGCAACACGTCAGTGTTTGGCATTGCTTCTGCTTTATGTTCCATTTCCATCTTCACGCTTATGTTCAAGTATTTCAATATAATTATGACCAACAGGCAATACCAAGGAGGCACAGGAATTCGACACTCTCTCGCCCGAGGAATCGAAGAGGCGTCTGCTGATTTTGATCAAGATGATGGATCTGAACAAGGACGAGTTTATTGACCGGCATGAGCTGAAAGCTTGGATATTAAGGTCCTTTAAGTGAGTGTTGTCTGTTGATTAATATCGATGTTGGCCGAGCTATTTAACCCAAGCTTTTTCGAAGTTAATGCTTCTGCTGGCAAAACTTACAAACTAAAACGAAACCAAGTAAAACCTGCTAAACTTCACCAAAACGTTTACAGAAAACTCTCCGAAGAGGAAGCCGCCGATAGGTTTGAGGAAATAGATCAGGATCAGGATGAGAAGATAACGTGGAAGGAGTACCTGCAGGACACCTATGCCATGGAGGATGAGGATTTCAAGAAAGAGACTATCGACTTTGACAGCTACGAGGACGAGCAGAAGATGATCCAGCAGGACAAGGAGATGTTCAATGCCGCCGATGCGAATAAGGATGGCAGTTTGACGCTCGATGAATACGTCTTCTTCCAAAATCCCGAAGAGCATCCGGTTATGCTGCCCATTCTGCTGGAGCACACGATGCAGGACAAGGATTTAGATCACGATGGCAAGATAAGCTTCCAGGAGTTTGCCGGCGAATCTGCTTCGCAGCACGGCAAGGAATGGCTTATCACGGAGAAGGAGCGCTTCGACAAGGATCACGATACCAACGGCGATGGCGTCCTCACTGGCGACGAGGTCTTGTCGTGGATTGTGCCCAGTAATACGGCCATTGCCACCGATGAGGTGGATCATCTGTTTGTCTCCACAGACGAGGATCACGATGATCGGCTTTCCTACCTCGAAATACTTAACAACTACGATACCTTTGTGGGCAGCGAGGCCACCGACTACGGGGACCACTTGCAAAACATTAACCATCTGTCCGATGAGCTGTAAAGCGATTGCCATCCTGCTGCTATAGTGAACCTGTGCTTAGTATTTCATTTATTTTACAAAAGTAGTAAGTAAATTTATGTTTTATTTATGTTTAATTCAAAGTGACAAGTTTGCAAAAATCCATATCGCTAAATTGTTTTGAGCGTTATTCGCGCATTCATCTCCATGTTCTGTCATATACCAATTACATTATGTGTAGTAATTTATATATAGACACCAAAAATAATCTACAAAATCATAATAATGTAATAAATCATTTTTACTAAAGTGTTTCTTGGGTTTAATTATATTGTACATATACATATATGCCTTTTGTTTATACAATTTATGACTAGAAACGTTGCCGCGTCTTAGGATAGATTTAAGCTTAGATTGCCGACTGCTGGGATTATACAAAAAGTTAGTTTAGCAGCTCGAGTTACCTTTTTGACTAGATTTCACACTCGTCTGTATGGAAAAAATACATTTGCTTAGGCTCTAGACTTATTTGGCGGCTTTATATACCCCAAAGTACGAACTCCCCTGCACATCCCACTTATATCACAAATATTGCACCGAATTGGCCTATTTTTCCCCACATTTTAGCTAGAAATTTTCAACAAATAAAAAGAAAGAGGCTAGAAACAAAACTGAAAGTTGGATTATCATCATCACCTGCTTAACAATACTACCATCTAATATATATATTCTTTACAAAGCACATTTTACAATTACTACGAAAAATTTACATGTCCCAGAGGCATTGCATCATCGTCTTTTTGATGGCAGCTCTCCGTTCGATGGCACAAAAACAGATTCACGGGCTGCTTACAAATCATAATTGAGTATGCACATCTCCAGTGGATTCACCTGTTGGAGAGGACACACACTCGTAAAGACTAAAGAGATTTAACTACGATGGGATGCGAATGCGCCGCCGAGGTTTTACAAATCACACAAAATATCGTAGTTGTCTACCTGGCGCAACGGCTTCATCTCGTCGATCACCTCGCCAAGATAATCGCTGATGGGCGTCGGCAGCTTCAGCTTCTCCAGCTGTGCCGAGTTGCGCACTCGCTTCATGATCACCGCCCGACAGCGATCCTGAAGGTTTACAAACTCCCGCATCGTACACTTCAGTGTCATTTCCGTCTTGGCGGCCGTGGAGCACACAATGGGGTACAGGGGTTCGTCAATCTGAAGAGGGATAAATATTATGAATTAAATTTTAAGAAAATATATAAATATAATATATATATAAAATATATATTTATAAAACAAGGTTTTGGGTTAATAAGACCCCTTTTTCTTTGACTTTTGCTGACCATTAAGTTTTTAGAAATTACCAAGCTTAAATTAATTCCTATATCTATCAATGTAATCCCTCTTGTTACAACTCACCTGATCCAATCCCCTGAAAGCCACGCCCAGGCACTTGCCGTCCTTGTAGTAAGTCAATGTGCCCTCAATGCCGTCGAAGAGTATGCCGATCTGGGTGGGATGATTCTCGCGGAAGCGCTTCGTGTACAGCAGTGCTACGCCCTTGTGCCACAGCACGCCCTTGTGGGACAGCCCCCAGCCATGCTCGTTCTCGCCCAGCAGATTTCGAAAGGCATTGGCATGAAGGCGGGCGGACTTGGTGCCGATGCCGAACATGATCGAGGTGCCGAAGACGCGCTGCGATACGTGCAGTTCCCAGTAGTAGCGTCCGTTGTTTAACGATCGCTTGCCCTGGACACCGGCAGTGCCCTTGCTCCAGTTGGGATGAAAGTGCACGGTGCGGGCATTGGGTCCACTGAGCACCACCTCCTTGGATCGGTGACGCTTGCTCCAGGTCCAGTTGTCTTCAACGCCCTCGGAGAGCGGACAGAAACGAGCCGGTAGATTGGAGACCGAAGTTGATGATGTGGTTCCTTGCGTAGAGGATTGCAGTGTCTGTCCGTCTCCTCCTCCTCCTCCGCCACCGCCTCGCCTCAAGCCGTGTCGCCGTCGCCCTTGACTGAGAGACACCATCTGATGGACTGAGGGCTGCACCTGCGGCGGCTGTTGTAAATCCACCTCCACATCTGACATGCTGTGTGTTTTGGTGTGAAACTGAAAAATTTTTTACTACTCGAACCCAAAGAACTTGGATAAATGAAAAGCGAGCCCTTCAAAACTGGATAACAAAGGGTCCCGGCCTACTATTAAGGGGGTGGTTGTCTTTCTCTGCAGGAAGCTTCTGCTCGGAGGGCTCTCCAGTTGCTTGGAGAGCGCACAGGCAAGGTCCTCCAATGCCTAGTGGTGGTTACTTTTTAACGGGCTGCTCCTTTGACTATTCTAGTGGTTAAGTTAGCCAGAGAAAAGCATAGAAATGAGGTTATCTTTTAACAGCTTCTTCACTGAAGGCTTTTCTTGGACAGCTCCTTATCCTTCTCTGAAGATCCTAATTGTGTTTTTCTTTATCCTGAGAGTTCTCAATTTACTTTCTGTGCTGGTGAGTGGTCTACATGTCCGTGTTTAGAAGCAGCGAATCATTAGATTCTGCTTCCTGTTGCAGCTCCAGTAGTTCTTCCTCAGGCAAAACCTCTCCTAAAGCCGGTTCCTCCTGGTACTCTGGCAGTTCCTCTTGCTCCTGAGTGCCACAACTGCCCAGCGAAGCGTAGCCACTGCTTAGGGAACTACTGCTCCAGCTAGCATCGAATCTCAAAGGGCGATAGCTCCTCACCGGCTGCTGCTGCTGCCCGATACTCCTCTTTAGCTCTCGCTTAATCCTTCGCAGTTGCCGGAAATCCTGCTCTCCGCTGGAGGAGAAGCGCTGCTTATGCAACTGCAGCTCCTGGAGATGAAAGTGATGGCGACAATAGCCTTGAGGACTGTGGGCACAGAAGCGACAGGCCTCCGAGTTAAGGCCCCCCACGAGAGGCAAGATGGGTTCGAGGATGCGTCGCTTCTGGCTGCGTTTCTGTTGCTCCAACTGCTGCTCGGCCAGGCGCTGGACGGCCTTACGATCGCCCACCGTTTCGGCCACCTCTTGGAGCAGGCGCACGTTCTTTGGGAAGCATCGGTCGTGGACGTAGAGCACCAGGCGTTGGCAGTAGAGGCACAGCGATTGGAACAGAAGTAGCAGCACGATAATCATAAATAGGGGTTGTCTTTGGTTATGGGGGCGGGAGGATGGATTTTGGGGGTTGGCTGCTGCTGCAAGTGGATCGTCACTTCCGGTCTAGAAGTCTGAAAGTCTGCGGTTGCCTGAATTTCGTGTGGCCTCTGCAACTCCTTTGGTTCTCTTACATTGAGGTTACTTCTTCGTCTTTTTAGGCAAGCACACACACAATTTTCACAATTTCTTTTGGGGTACACACACTTTTTTTCCTTTTTGCAGCTCCTCCACCTCCTAGTGAGCTCCCAAAAAGCTGCTCCGCTAGCTGCTTATCTGCCTGAAGTTTCAACTCCCACGACGACTCCGCTTCCGTCCAAGGCTCGCTGGCTTCTGGGCTCTTCCAACTCGAAGCCACAAAAGCCTACCCTTATTTTTCTTTTCCCGCTGCGAACTGCTTCCAACCACCAATTGGACTATGTGTGTCCATGTGTGTGTCTGCATATCATTATCATATGGTCGTCGTCTCGCCTGCCAACCCCCTTTCGCTGTCCACGACCCCAATCGGTATCGCGCCACCCCCTCGCAACCCAATCCCACTTTGGGCTTCGGAGAGGAAGCGAGGCATGCGCACAAGTGCACTTCGTGGTGAGTTGGGTCTCTCATCTTCTTGGCTTGGCATTAAGGGCTCTCCAGCAGATGATTTCCACCACAATCGACTGGGATTTACTTGTTTTTTGAACCCTTGATTTTTTGTTTAAAGAAGATTTAACCCACTTTGTGCGTGGGGTTCCTTTTTTTATCTTTGATAACCTTGCAGGGTATTATAATTTTAAGCAAAAGATTATTACGCAGTAAAGAAGTAACTAATATTATCTCATGAATATTGTACCCTTTTATCGATAGAAATCCAGATATCATTTAACATTAAGGAATTATATTGAACAATTTTAGAAACTATCTCTCTACATTTCTATCTATCATCTATTTATTTATATATCTATCAATCAATTGACCTATTGATCTATCTATCTTTCTATTTATCATCCCAATCTCCTTCTACTCCGATCCATATTAAATATTTCCTATATATATTTTTTCTTTGCCCCATTATCATTAATATTACTACCTTGAATTTATAAGAATAATAATAAAGAAAAAACTCTTTATTTTACCATTTTTTGTTTGTTTCATAAACGTTAACAAATAAGCGACAAAGTTGTTGTTTTTTGTTGATGTTGTTGGTGTTTAGTGGCAGCTGATCAATGGAGGATCCTCTCGGTGTTTCGATATTATTATTATCAACTTCATAATTCGCATTTAATCGTGTGATTAAGAAATGGAACACGCTGTGCGTGTGTATTATTTGTGGACATACGACCGTGGCTAGTTTATTTATTTTTGTTTGATTTACTTAACTTACGTAACGTAACTTAGAAGCAGTTTACATTGTTTAGAACATTAATTGGCAGATACAAAAATGGCATTGTGTCGCGGCAGCATCCAGGTTCGTTTTTGTTTTGTTTTTGTTTTTTAGCACTTTGACCTTGGCGCCCTGTGTTTCTTTCTTATTTTTGGTTAGTTTAAGGAATTTGTAGCAGTGTTGGTTGGTCTGTGTGTGTGTGTGTTGTTGTGTTCGTTGGTAAATTTAAGGCATTACATTTAGATATTAAACTTATGCTGGGGCGTCTCAGTGGTGTGTCATCCTGGTGGTCCTACGAGGAGTTCTTCATGCACACCTGGCACCTGGAGACGCGCGACAGCAGGTTGCCGGCCTTGATCGTTTGCTGCTCGGGCTTCTGGAAGCTATCGCCGGACTCCAGGGTGACCATCCAGAAGCTGGTCATTGTCTCATAGAAGTGGCACGTGCCCTTGGCGCCATTGCACTCGATGAAGGGCGTGGCGCGGAAGTCCTCCAGGCAGGAGCCGGGAGATTGCAGCGCCTGTCCGCCGCCTCCGTTGGCCACAGCCGTGTGCTAAAAGAGAGAAATGAAGCATTCATTAGATGGATATTAATTTAAGGCGAAAGATGCACTCACCATGAGGAAACTGTAGCCGATCCAGAGACCCTCCCAGCCGTTGGGACAGTTGGGAATTTCCAGCGACTGACTGTGCATGGCAATCACATTGGCCGGCGCCTCGCAGACCACGCAGCGCGAGATGTATTTGCTGATCTCGTACTTCTCCACTGGCATCATCGGAATAGGCGCGGAGGTGGACAGCCAGAAGGTCCTGTCGTTGCGCGACGCATAGTTGCAGATGTTGTTCTGGCCGCAGGAGAGCACGGGCAGGGTGGAGAAGCGCGGCACACAGGAGCCGGGTGAGCCCAGATCCTGGTTGTGGGCATAGTCATTGCCATCCACATACAACAGGGAGTAGCCCGTCCACAGTTCCGTTTGTCCGGGGAAGCAGGTGGGCACCACGTCGTTTTGACTGTGCCGCGTCACCAGGATGCCGGTGAGGTAGTCAAGGGCCGCGGAGCATGGTGCTCCGGGCTCGCCCTTAGCGCCGGTGGCACCAATGGCACCCTCGAGACCAATCAGACCCTGCTCTCCGCGATCGCCCTTGGGTCCAACACGTCCAACCAGACCGCTCTCGCCGATCAGACCACGTTCGCCCTTCTCGCCGCGCTCACCCTGAATGCCGATCAATCCCCGCGCTCCGGGGGGTCCAACCTCTCCCTTCTGTCCATCGCGTCCTGGCTGGCCAGGCTCGCCCTTCGGTCCTGGCGGCGGTCGGACTCCAGGCTCTCCCTTTTGTCCTGGCAGACCCGGAGTACCATCGCGTCCGTCGCGTCCCTTTGGTCCAGTAAAGCCACGATCACCGGGCGCACCAGCTGGTCCTTCGGTTCCATCTAATCCGGGGTAACCAGTATCGCCCTTGGCTCCTGGCAGACCGGCCAGACCTGGCGGTCCCTGATGTCCCTGATCGCCCTTGTCTCCCTTATTTCCTTGGAAGCCGGGCAGACCACGCTCGCCCTTGATGCCCTGGAATCCGGTGTCTCCCTTTTGTCCTTGGGCGCCGGGGAATCCATCCTCACCAGGTTTTCCAGGGCTGCCGCTCAGACCGCGTTCACCCTTGGCTCCGGCGGGGCCAATAGCTCCAGGCAGACCCACCAGACCAGGCTCTCCGGGCAGACCGGGCAGACCGCGATCACCCTTGATTCCAGGAGGTCCAGTCAAACCTGAAAGTTCCAGAGATGAGAGTGGTTTTTGAGGATGAAAGGATGAGGAGGCACTTTTAAACTTACCTTCACGTCCGTGCTTGCCAGAGCGACCGGGCAGACCCTTCTCGCCCTTGACTGTGAGTCCCGGGAAGCCGGTCTCGCCCTGTTGTCCCATGTCGCCCTTCTGGCCAGGTGATCCGTTCAATCCGTCCAGGCCACGAGGTCCCTCCAGACCGCGATCACCCTTGGCTCCGACATAACCCATTAGACCTTGTTCGCCTCGCTCACCCTGTTCGCCCTTCTCGCCGGTGAAGCCACGCTCTCCCTGGGATCCCTTGTCGCCACGAAGGAGAGCCACGTCGATGACGGCAGGAAGACCGGGCTGGCCACGTGGACCGCGCTCACCCTTGATGCCCTGAGCGCCGATGTAGCCCTGAGGTCCGACGGGTCCAATCTCGCCCTTAAGTCCATCCAGACCCGGAAGTCCTGCATTGCCCTTGAGTCCTTGAACGCCGGGATAGCCAACGGGTCCAGGTGCACCTTGTAGACCGGGCTGGCCATCGATGCCGGGAGCGCCGGGAATGCCAGGCGGACCCATAGATCCCTTCTCACCGGGCTTGCCCCACATGCCGACAGCACCCTGGTCACCCTTCTCGCCATTGAGTCCGTCACGTCCATCGAGGCCACTGCGTCCGGTTTCGCCCTTCTCGCCCTGCGGTCCGGGACGTCCGTGGACAGCCAAACCGGGCAGACCCTTCTCACCAGGCAAGCCAGGCTGGCCAGTCAGGCCCTGGTCTCCACGAAGTCCAGAGATACCCGGCTCACCCTTTTGTCCCTTCTCAGAGGCATCACCAGGCATACCCGGGGCTCCGTCCATACCGGGCAGACCTTGGTTACCCTTCTCGCCATTCAAACCGTCCAAGCCAGGCTCTCCGGGGGCACCGACCGGGCCTTGGTCTCCCTTCACGCCCATCAGGCCCGGGGGACCGGGAGCACCGCGTCCACCAACGGGTCCATCGTTGCCAGTCAAGCCACGCGCTCCCTTATCGCCCTTGGCACCTATGAGGAGAGGAGATGGAGAAGTTGAGTGGAATAATTAGGATCCATTTAATAATAATGACCGCTCAAAGCACTTACCAGAGATTCCATGAACTCCGGCAGGACCACGCTTGCCAGGAGCACCAGCAATGCCGTTGAAGCCCTTGGGTCCATCATTACCGGGAGCACCACGGTCGCCCTTGTTGCCGGGCATACCGACCAGACCGGGATTACCGGGTTCACCCTTGGCGCCGTCGCGTCCACGCACTCCGTCGATACCGGGAATTCCAGGCGGTCCGGGAACACCAATCGGTCCAATCGGGCCCAAGTCACCCTTTTCACCAACAGCGCCTGGGCGTCCGGCCACACCTGGTAAGCCGGCGTCACCCTTGTCTCCGGGATATCCAACGCTGCCATCAATACCGGGCAGACCCTGCGATCCGGGTGGACCACGAACGCCCTTCTCGCCCTGCAGACCATCGAGACCCTGTGGACCAGGTGGACCAGCCACCGAAATGCCCTGCTCTCCCTTCTGGCCGCGATCTCCATTGCGTCCGGGAACGCCGCGAAGACCATCTCGGCCTGGATTGCCGGCGGCGCCGATAGGTCCCTGGTTGCCCTTCTCGCCGCGAATTCCAGTCAGGCCACGAGGTCCTACGGGACCCAATGGGCCACGTGGACCGGGATTACCCTTTTCACCCGGATATCCTTGTGCGCCTGTTTCGCCTTGCAGTCCAGGTTGTCCCTTCATTCCAGTCTCTCCGCGATCGCCTTTGTCGCCCTTGAACGGCACAGTCAGATTGGAGGCGTCGCAGGTTCCGGGCTCTCCCTTGATACCGGTGTTGCCAGAGGTACCCTTGTCGCCCTTTAATCCGTTAAATCCTGGATTACCGGGCTCACCCTTGATGCTAAGGCCGGGGGCACCGTTGTAACCATCACGTCCTGGGGCTCCGGGATTTCCATCCGTTCCAGGAAAGCCGGGCAGACCCTTGTCACCCTTGAGACCGATCTCGCCTTTGATGCCAGGGAATCCGGGCACACCGGCCGCTCCAGGAAATCCGGCAACGCCTTTGTCGCCTTTCTGGCCGGGATAACCTCGTTCACCCTTAATCGGCTCTACCTTTGACAAATCCTCAATTGCATCTTTACCGGGAGCACCCTCCGCTCCGGGAGCTCCGGGCAGACCATCAATACCTCGGTCACCGGGAAGGCCAGTTTTGCCGTTGATACCGTC